TGGGCGGGAGCCGGAGGGGCGGGGCAGAGGGAGCGGGCTGGCGCGAGCGCGGAGCGCTGGCGCGCGGGCGGGCGCTGATTGGCTGGCGCGGGCTTCCAGCGCCGTTAACGGCAGCCGTGGCAGCTGCCGCCGCTTCAAAACAAAGGAGGCGGCGGCGCGGAGGGAGCGGAGCGAGCGGCGGGCGGCGGGGGATGTGTCGGGCGCTGCCGAGGCCGCTGTGGCCGGGCCGCTTCTGCGGGGCGGCCGCCTCCGTATGAGCGAGCCCCGGCGGCGGCGGCGGCGGCGGCGGTGGCGGCGGGGCCGGCCGTGGGAGGGCTGAGGGCGGGCGGGCGACCCCTGCGTAGACACAGCGGAGCCTCGGCGGGGCTTCCTCCTCCTGCTGCCGCCGCCGCCGCCGCCGCCGCCGAGGGTAGGGGCGTCCCCCGCGCCCGCCCCGGGCCCCCGCCGCTGCCGCCCCCTCGGGGAGCTCGCCGGGCCGCTGCGGTGAGTACCCCCGGGGGTCACTTGTCCCGTGCCCGGCCCGCCGTCGCTCCGGGGGGACTCCCGTGTCACTCCTCCCGGGACCCCCCGACGAGGTCCCCATCAGGACCCTCCTGGCGGCCCCACCCCCGCCGCTCCGCGAGGTGCCTTCCTCCCCAGCCTCGCGGGACCCCCTGGGCAGGACCCCCCTCCCGCCCTGCAGCTCATGATCACTTGGTGCCCGGCCCCTGGGGAGGCCCCCCCTCCGCGCAGCCCCCCCGCCCACGCGGGAGCTCTGGGCTCGGGGGGCACAGGTTCGCCTCCGGGGGAGGTGGGGGGTTCGGCACAAGTTTGGGGCTTGGGCGATTCGCTTCTATTTTTAGCGCCTGGAAATGACGGCAGGAGCCGCGCGATCGGGTGCTCCCCTCGCCCCTCCGGGCTTGCTTTTGTGTCGAGGTCTGGGGAGGAGGGGGCCGGACCCCCTGCCGGCTGGGCCGATCTCCCGTGTCCCCAGAGAAAGCCCCCGAGCGCTGACCCCGCTGGGATGACCCAGGTGCCGAGTGACACCTTCGGGCCCCCCTCCCCTCCTCCTCGATTCTTGCTGCGCCAAAGAGCTATTTCCAGGCTCGCGGGGGCCGCCCGCTTTGTAAACACTCGGCGTCTCGGTGGCTTTTGTGATCGTTCCTCGTTGGATTCTGGCTTGTGCTCGGGGGGGGGGGGGCACAGAGCCCTTCGTAGGAGGGCTTTGGCTGGGACCCAGTCCAAGAGTTGTGTGACCATGGTGGCAGGTGCGGTTACTGCGTGCCAAGAAAGCCAAGCCTACCTTTCCTTCCTAGGGCACCCTGCGCTGGTGCCGTGTGAGCGTGTGTGTGTGTGTGTGTGTGTGTGTGTGTGTGTGTGAGTGTGGTTACGTGTCACGGTGTATGTGTGCTGTGTGTGATCCGATGACATTTGGAGGTCTCCTTAAGCACGTAGGGCCTGGCTTGGGGGGTGGGGAGAGGAGGTTTGGAACTCAGGATTGATACAGACTCAGGCTCGGGCTGCTTCGGTAACAGTTTTCCTTTCGGAGGTTAGACCTGCCTTGGATTGGGTGTTTCCTGAAGTTCGGTTACTTTGTGGCAAACTCCAATTAGCAGAGATTACTTAGTAGCACAGGAGGGCAGCTTCGGCTCCCGTTAGCTGGGGGCCAAGTACGCATAATATTACGCCAATGATGATCGGGTGAAGAGACCTGAATTGAGGAGGCTGAGTCTGGGGGGGAGGGGGGAGGTGTTAAATCTTCTTTATTACCTTTGTTACCTTGAGCTGGTCAGACATCTTCCCTGAACTCCAGTTTCTTGATCTCTAAAATGAGGAGAAGGTTGTACTAGGTAGTACTTGGGGTGGGGAGGGCTCTCAACTCGTGATTCCAATCTTTGACATTTCTTAGTTTGTTGTGAAAAGCATACAGTGATAGTCCTTTTTGATGTTGGGCAAGTCTGTGTCCCCGGATTTCAATTTTCTCCTTTGTCAGTCAAGTCAATAAATAAACGTTTATTAAGCACCTGTTGTGTGCCAGTGCTAAGCACTGGAGATACAAAGAAAAGTACAAAACAGTCTCTCAAGGAGCTCAGAGTCCAGTGAGGGAGCAAAGCTGTGTACAGACAAGCTCCAGGCAGCAGAAATTGGAGGAGAGCGCTGGAATTGAGAGGCTCTGTGGAATGAGGACTTTGAACTTGCCTTCTAGCTCTAACTCACTCATCCCAAGAGGGAAGCACATTTCTGCCAGCACCAAGTGCCCTGGGTTGGAGACTGCACCGTTGAACTATCTCCTGTGTGTGCTGCCCAGACCCCCAGGGCCACTGCCTCTCCCCTTGCAAGACTGCCACAGATTGCTTTTTGCTCCGTTCTCCCTTTATTTTCCAACCACGCACACACACATGCAAGTGCATGGTAGGTCATGAATGGAAAAGAACCAAGAATTTATCAGATGGTTTACTTGAGAACTTGAGAGTTTTATTATGTTTAGGAAGTTTTACAAATCAAATCCTTAATTTGATTTAGAAACAGACCAGAAAGACCACAGACAGGGTAGACCACTACTAGAATTTGCTTTCTCACCACTCACTAAAGGGGCCTTTTAAGTTCAATTCTTTGTGATAAGTAGTAATGTCTATGATGGTAAAACTTTTAAAGTCGTAAGTTTTCCAATGTAAGCTGGCATTTCTAGTGGAATCATAGCTGACGTTTTCTGTAGCGCTTTAAAGTTTCTAGGTTGTGTGGAAGGGCCTCTTATGCACTGTGAGGTTAACATACCATGTCTATTTATTAAATACCTGTTGTGTGTGAAGCTTGGTGCTGGGCATGGAAGGAGGTGGAGTTTAGATGAGAGAGGGGCTGTCCTCTTGAAGCTGAGCCTCTAGAATCTAGGGCCCCCAGAGGCCAACCCTCTCATCTTAGAAGAGGGGAGGCTGAATCCAAGAGAGGGGAAATGCCTCCCCGAAAGGGGCAAAGCTGGGATTTGAACCTAGGTTCTCTGACTCCAGAGGCAGATACCATGCCGCCTTCCCATGCTGCTCCCAAGCTACCTGGGGAACATCAGGCCACAGAAATAACTCCAAGGAGATGTTGAGGGGGCTGGGGTTGAAAGGACAAGGAGGAATTGCCCAAGCAGAAGGAAAGGGAGGCTGTTCTAGGCACAGGAAGCTGCCTTGATGAGACACAGGGGGAGTGTTGGTATCACATCCATTTTTACAGATGAGGAAACTAAAGCTCTGAGTGTTATGGAACTTGGTCACATGGCTAGTGAGCTCCAGTTGGAATCTGTTCCTGTATCCCTCAAAATCACAGAGTCAGGATTTGAACTCATATACTTTGACTCCCAAACCCATGTTCTTTCCCCTTTTCCCACAGTGGTATCTCTTAGCCTACTGTGTCATTATTGTGTAGTACACCTGTGTCTCTACTCCACATAACATGTTATAAATCATCCTAAGCACCTTTGTATCTCTCTCAGCTCCTGGAATGGTGTTTTGGGATGATCAATCAATCAACATTTATTAAGCACCAACTATATGCCAGGCATGGGCTGAGTGTTGAATAAATGCAAAGTCTTATCCTTAGGATAAAAAAAAAATCAATATCACAAATACAAGATGGGAGACATGGTTAGACAACAGTTTGTCTGAAAAGACATGGAGGTTTGGGGGGTGGCAAGCTTGATGTGCGTCAGCAAGCATGATAGAATAGGCGAAAAAGTCGATTTGATTTTAGGCTGCTTTAAGATGGGTGTGCGTAACTCTAAAGAAGGATATTGGAGATGTTAGTCTGCATATTTCTGTGTTCATACCACATCTAGGGTCTTGGGTTCATTTCTGGGTCATAAATTTTAGGAAGGAAGTTGATCAGCTGGAAATGATCCAGAGGAGGGCAAATGGGGTGGTGAAGGACCTGGAATTCATCTTGCACAGGGGACTTTGGAGGGAACTGGAGAAAAGAAAGCTGAAGTGGTGGTTGGTGTTACCGTGGGGGTAGCAGACAGGAGCTCTAGCAAGCATCTGAAGGACCAGTGTGCAGAAGGAGGGATTCGGCTTGTTCTCTTTGGCCACAGAGCTAGGGAGAAGAGCCCTGTTTTCTAAAAGGCAGAGCTAGCTCTGAAAGTGGAGTGGCCGCCTTGGGAGAGAGGTGACGGCTCGAAGCCCCTTTGCAGGTCCTTGAAAAGGTCGGATAAACACTGGTCGAGGGTTTCTTGGCTAGATTTGGGTTGGACCAAATGGAATGTGGGATTCAAGCAGCGGCCACGTACAGCAGTGTTGTCCGTGAGGGAGCTCACCACTGCTGAGCAGGTAATTGGGGGGGGGGGTGTAAATATTTTGTATTTACTTCTGGTGTATATATTTTCCCTCCTCCCTCCATAGACTGTAAGGTCCTTGAGGGTAGACACTGTTTCCAGTTTTTCTTTTCATGTGTCCCTAGTGGCCAACACATAGTAGGTGGTTACCAAATGCTTGTCTCATTGAGTGTTGGGCTGTCCAGCAGTGGGGAAGAGCTTAAAGGTTGTGCCATGGGAGTTATCTGATGAAAGCACTGAGAAGGGCTGGGTAGAGACAGGAAGGACAGCTGTCCTGAAGCATCCTTGACAAGAATGTCTGAAAGAAGACAGACTAAACTTACTCTGCTTACCTTCAGAAGTCAGAATGCGGAACAACTGGTCAAAGTTGCTGAGGCAAATTCAGGTGTTGGCATAAACTGCTAACCATTGGAGCTCTCCCCAAATGGAATGGGCTGCCTCCAGAGCTTGGTCTTCCTCCCTTGAGATCTTGAAGCAAAGGATGACCAGCCACTTACTAGTCAGGCATGTTGGGAAGAGATTCTGGCTCAGGAACCAGAGGACCAAGATGGCGGACCAAGATGGCCTCTGAGGGCACTGCTTGCTTTGAGATTCTGTGATCCCAACTGTCAGAGCCTTTCAGGCACAATCCTGGTCAGTGAGCCTAGGGCGGGGGTGGTGAACCTTTGGCCTCTGGCCACGGGTGGCCCTCTAGGTCCTCAAGTACAGCCCTTTGACTGAATCCAACTTCTCAAAACAAATCCCCTTAATAAAACTTGGACTCAGTTGAAAGGTCATACCCAAAGACCTAGAAGGATCTCTGGCCTAGGGGGTGGGGGCTTAGGGTCTGTTTTAATTACAGAATCACTCAAAAATCATCTGGTGAGATATGAGGAAATGCTATCAGCAGCACTGCAGGCTGTGCCAGCCTGGAGAGCAGGGAACCTTAAAAGAATCAAAGAATATTGATTAATCATCATGGCTATTTGCGGCCCTCTGCAGCCCTGTGGTTTTGCATATGGCAGCTCTGGATCAGCTTAGGCCTGTGGATACAGAGCTCATCCAGTAAGACCGCCTTCATTCTCTACAATACTGTGAGGCAGGGAGTGAAAGAGCCATTATATTCCTATTACATATGAGGAAGAGAGACAATTCAGGGGTGGGGGGGGGGGGGGGGGGGGGGTAAGAGTGTTGGCTTGGGCGGCAGATGACCTGA